AATTCAAAGAATTGAAACTTTATAGAATATAATCAAAAAGCAACCACCTTTTACATTTTAAAAATGGATAAAACCCTTGATTCCAAATGCCGTCCCATCAAGAATTTATGACCTACAAGTCTCCACCATAAATCAACGAATCTCGACTTTCATATTAATAGAGGACAATTATTTAAAACACATCATTTTACACCTCAATGATGGATAAAACCTTTGATTTAAACACCATCCCATAATAAATCTATAACATTATCAATTCAAAGCTCACAACTTTTATAGAACAAGCCTAAATCAAAATGCAATTATTGTACGCTTCATGTGACACTATTTCGCAAATTAAGTGTTTGCTTGGTTTGGATTAAAATCAGATTTTAATCTAAGTTAAAGTCAAATAATCAATGTTAACTACATTTCTCATGGGCCTCACAACTTTTCAATCACATATTTCAAGAACTTTCATCACATTCTCCTAAAAATCTTATTTTAATTCATACGAAACATCCTCTAAAATGGATAAAATCTTTGATTCAAAGACCGTCTCATTTAAATTAATGACATGGGGGTACGGCTCGTGGGAGTGCCCACAACTAGGGTACTTTTTATCTATATTTCACCAAGGATAAATATGATTGAACGGTGCACTTTAAACGCAAAAAGAGTATTGAATATGGAATGATATAGTAGTTAGGTTGTCTACATTGTAACTAAAGGCATATAATAAAGCCATGAACCACATGAAAAAGTTAATTATTAATCTAATCTATCAACACAACTGTTTGTGTTGACTAATGTCACAACATATAAAATAAATCCAAGTGGGGTAGAGCTAGGGGGTAGTGTAGAGGAGGGGGGGTGGTCTCATGAAATTAATAATGATGATAATTGCATTTTGTTTTATTTTGGTGCGTGTCGGTCAATCGATAATCTGATTAAGTACGTTGAACTAGATAAAATTAAATTATAGATTATGGGAAAGATTTTTGTTTATTTATTTTTATTTAAACCACCTCGAAGTGGACTGCTGAAAAAAATGATATAAATTTAGGAGGAAAACATTTGATCCAACCATCCGGTCAGTGTAGATGCAATACAGAAATTTTAACTAGTTTAGAATATTGGAGGTAAAGAGTATATCTATATCTCATGCGCTCTCACCATACTTCTAGTCATAAAGTGACTCGTATAATATTTTGTTAGTTCATGGTCACTCTACAATTACGTCGCTTACGGCTTAGGATTATTGTGAATCAATTTAATCCGAGCAATGTTTTACGTTAAAGGATGGACCAACAAAATTGTTTGTTGTTTTCTCTATTCTTATTCGATCTCATGAACTGTATACGTGAATCGTGTATTCCTAACAAAAATAATTTATTAGAGATGATATCAAAAGAGTGGAAAATTGATTGGCATCTCATCTCTAGTAAGTACTACCTAAATAATCTCGATGTGTTCCACCATACATTCTATTGCACAATTAAGTTGACAATGACTAAATAATAATTAGTATGGACGGACCCATGAGCAAAAATAATAATCCGTATTATTGGCTAAGTGTGATACGTACAAAAATGTGAACATGCTCCTTCAATTGATTGTCGGAACGTCTTATCATTTTTGCATAAATCAGTTCCCTTAAATTGTCATTAATTTACAACCATATAATATTTGAATTATTAGAAAGATTTATTTATTTTATTTTTTTCTTGGACCACTTCGCATTTACTAATTAACATCATTTTCAAGTCGTACATAATTACATTTCTTTTACATTTTCCTTTATGTTAGTTTTTAAGTAAAGAAGAGAGAGGGGGAGAGAGAGAGAGACACTCATTGGAGAGCCAACAGAGTTTAATTAGTTTCTGCTAGATGAGAAATAAAGAACATAACCATTACCGGGAACAAGTGAATATTGAACTATATTGCTTTTGCTCTATGAGTCTATGACGATCACACTTGAGTTATGGGGACCTATATACATTAGTACAATATATTGGGGTATCCGGCCAGAAATACATGCAAATTTCATTGCATGTGGTTCATTTGTGCTTTTTGTGGTGTGACTCCCATGTGATTCAAGGGTAGAACTGCACACTTTTGTGGTCAGAACATTGTTCAAGATAGTACGTAGCGCCTATCAAGCAAATTCTTGAAGAGAGTCGATTGCTTCTTTTTCGGTGCCATCTTTTATTTATTTAGATGTTGAGGCAAGGCAAACCCCATGAAAATATAAGTTTGCTCTTA